ATCAACAGTCTGATCAACTCTATGCGAAGAAGATGTGTTGCGCTGCATGAGGCAAATGGTGGTCACACCAGATACTGACCGGTTTTGTGATCCACACCCCTACCTTTTCTTTTTTAAGGCATCTGTGACTAACAGATGCATATCTGTATTCCCAGTCATGTTATATCCATAAATTCAGGCCTAATTTATTTATTTCAATTGACTGATTTCCTTATATGAACTGTAACTCAGTAAAATAAAATAAAATGTTGCATGTTGCGTTTATATTTTTGTTCAGTGTAGTTTTGACGGTATTGATGGTATTGAAAAACCATCCGGGCTTAGTCCAAATACCCCGGTATACGGTATATATTGTATACCGCCCAAGCCTAAAATCTACTTGTATATTTTGTATGATATGGCAGTGGCTCTTTCGCCATTGGATCACCAAGACCTGTAAATAAATCTACACTGAGCACGTCAACCTGCCTTGCCTTCTGCTGATTTCATGCCCTTAAGACTGCTACAAGGTCCCTATTTTCCAATTACATAATCAAAATGTGTTGTTGACAAAATAATTTAAAGGGCTGTATGGTAGCCTCAATAAATAGACAAAGATTTGTAGTTGAACAAGTCATTGCATGTATAGATTTTTTTTATTTACTTCACTTGAAAAAACATGTGACTCGACTTGCTCTTAGAATGCACGCCTTGTACTTGACACGAGACTCAACCCGTTCTACTTAGGACTCGACTTGAGACTCGGACCTTGTGACTCGAATAATAGTGACTTGGTCCCACGTCTGCTAAAATACATCCAGCCTCCTGACCTACCTGAACTAGCAGGCTAGGTGGAATGCCACAGAATGAGAGCGCATGCCCTGCAGACGGTGGAACGTGGATTAGACTGCAGTGATAAACGTGTCTGAGCACAGGGCAGCCAGGGGCCTGCTTAGACTGCAGTCTGGTCTCATTGACTAGACATAGCATAGTAAATGTAAATCCGGGACACTCAAATTAGTATGATATGGTTACATAAGACAGAAGGTTACTTAAGGCAAAAACGAAAGGAGGGTGGTTGGTTGGGTGGGCGTGTAACGTAAACGACAAAGTAACCCAAAGGTTGCGTGTTCAAAACGCATCACGGACAACTTTAGCATTTGAGCTAATTAGCAACTTTTCAAACACTTACTTATTTTTAGCTCCTTTGCAACTACTTAACATGCTAGCTAACCCTTCCCCTTTAACCTAACTCCTAACCTTAATCCCTAGCGTAGCTAACGTTAGCAACCTAGCTAACGTTAGCCCCAACAAATTTGAATTTGTAACATATCATACGTAATGGGCTGATGGGCATCCACAAATGAATACATATCATACGAAACGTAATATATCATACTAATTTGAGTGTCTCGGATTTGCCAACAGATAATACGAAACGCTCTGAGACCAGGTTGCAGACTCAAACTGACTGCATTTACACACACAGACAAGGTGACAGACCTACCTCCATCTTGCAAGAACAGATCCGAGGACAATCAGACCCGACCCGAATGGACACAATAATTTATTTAAAGGGGACCTGAGAACGATTAGACCCGAACCCGAATGGACCCGACAAACACCCTAACGGGTCCGGTTCTAGACCCGATTGGACCCAAGTAAAAAAAAAAGTATATATATCAGCCAAGTTGCTATTCTGGTTAACGAATAGGTATTCATATGTTGTCTAAGCCTTCTATAAGTCAATAAATTAACCTTATTAGCGTAAAATAAATATGCTAGACCCGATGACAATCAAACAGGAACTGGCCCGGATCCGAGGGAAAAGTTTGTATTTTGGACCCGGACCCACCCTGGTTGGGTATTTGGGTGGACCCGTGAAGACCTCTATACCAAATAATGAACCAAAGATGTCAACTGTTTGGGTTGGCAAATGTGTGTCAGATATATACAGTTGTGTGTGGGGCAGGGAGAGGTTGGGGTGTTTCAGAGCAAATGTTATGTAATAATTAGCACTAAACCTGCATTTCACTTCCTATTCCCTGCTCTTAGGAAAATGATATCCTTAGGGGGTTGTAGGTCTGATTTTAACTCAGCTGGCAAGTGCATGGGAAGTTCAGAATAGAAACATAAACAGCTGCAAGCACCTGAGCATAGATGAGAGATTGTTTGTCAAGGATTGATTATTCATTTACAAATAATTAGAATTTAAAGCAATTTCCAAGTAAATGCTAACTTTATGGACACTATTTACTGAGCAGTGATGTTCCATTGTACAGGGCTCAATCAATGTCGTGATGGCTTCTAGTCTGAAGGGTCCACTACACCCCGCCCAGTCTGAGAAGAAGATGTCAAATCGTTCTAGCAGACAGAATGTTATACTTCAAATTCAGGTTGACGAAGAAAACACACAAACCAGACCACACAAGTCTAACTACGCTAATGAATTTCACCAATTCACCAACTAGAATTTGCATCAGTAAACATCAATGGATTAAATTAATTACAGTTGAAATAATGGCTAATAATATATTCAAACTTGTGAACAAAATGAATTGTACTATGCACAGGTGCAGAACAGTCTCTTTCCCCTGTGCAATCACTGACAATACTCTACACAGCCACCAGCTGTAAAATTATCATTTGTGTGTATTACAATAAAACTGGGTATGCAGTGTGCACTACAGATCAATGTAGTATGTAAATACAATTGTTATCTTATCAACATCACTTTATGCACTTGAGTTACTTCCTGAAAGAGAAACAGCTAACAAAGAAATCTCATTTCAATTCTATTGTCTGTAGGTGGCTAGATAGCTGGAGTTGTAACGTTAGCTTGCTGCAAAGAAAGACTGACCGGTTACTGTAGTTATTGACAGATGCTGACTTTAGAGCATCCAAACTAATAGCTAAATAATGAGTTAAACATAATGTGTTAATCTACATCTAAGAACAAAGGTTGCCTAATCGTCGAATTCAGCACTGTTTCAGGCGACAAAGTAACCAAACGTCAGACAGCCAAATAGCTAACGTTAGCTAATGTGTTAACGCCACTGGCTAACTAGTCTCTGACCCGCTAGACACTGCCGTAAGTCATCAAGATGTACGAGGATTGCTAGCTGGCTAATTAGCAACATGGGTGTTGGACTCCCTAGATACCTGCCACCCAATTAAACTAAACGATGCTATGCTACAAATGTTGCCGCTTTTACCTAAGTTCCACTGCGGCAGAGAAAAATATTAGACCAACGTTTATTTCATGTTTCGCTGGCTACATCTCGGTACTGCTGCAGACAGGGTGTGAAGTTTGTAGCTACGTTAGCAGGCTAACATTACCGTGGTTGGCTTGCTAGCACAACTCAGCAAATTGCTAACTAGCAAAGTTGGGAGGAAATTACACAACCAGATACAAAGTAAGTCTAAAACATAATGAACCATCATATGCTTGATTGTTAACTACTGTATAGGTTGTGAAAACCAGGTCTTTACCGTTTTCCTACTGTTTTTCCCCAGGCGGTTCTAGAATCAGTGCTTCTGTTGCTCTTCCCTGTGCAAGTATGGCGAACAAGGAACGGCGCCGCCCCATGCAACACGCTTCCGGGAACTATGCCGCGGCGCGCACGCTCTATGCGGTGGCGTGCAGTTGCTGGTGCCGCGCGCCCTGAAGAGATATTAGGTGGGGCTAGTTTGAAGTCTTGAACAAGTAGTGCTAGTGTTTTTGACACTTCATTTAAAAACAGCATTTGAATAGTTTTAATTTAAACTTCATTAGGCCTCATCCTTCATTGCGAACAGACTAATCAACTGGTCTGTCTAGTTCTTTGACCATTTGAAATACTATCGAACAAGTCAGTGATGTTGGAGTGAAAAGTAATTTCATTCCTTACATTAATATTGTAGTAAACACAATAGTATGAAAAGGTATTAACATTACACATTGAGTTTGACAATCTGACAAGAATGCTGTGGAGCATGTTATAAATTGCTTTAGCTTTTGTTATAAAGTAGCAGCACAGTGAACTACCATTGGAAGTTCAAACATTTCCACACTTGACATGATCACCCCACACCCCTAGAGGTCTAAGAGCCAATTTATGCTTGATCCGAAAATGTGGTTGGCGGCGCCATATGGATGGTGTGATGTAATTGCAGAGCCTCCGAAGGCACGTAGAGGCCAAATTGAGCTCCACAAATCCCTGTGCGCCTCAAATTTTGTAACAATGCGGAGGGCTCCATATTGACATGATTGGTTGACAGTAGTTGAGGGTGGGATGTCCTGTATAAACAAACTCTCTTCCTGGGGCGGCAGGTAGCTTAGTGGTTAAGAGCATTGTGCCAGTAATCGAAAGGTGAAAAATGTGCCCTTGAGCAAGGCACTTAACCCTAATTGCTCCTGTAAGTCGCTCTGGATAAGAGCGTCTGCTAAATGACTAAAATGTAAGCTCTGCGCAAGAAGTATGAATGCCCTGACTTCTGCAGAGGTTGTATCACCATAAATGCTGCAAGGCCAATGCAGACGTCATATTGACCATGCAGCGCCTTTCAGGCTTGTGGTTTGTAGGGCCGGTTTCCTGGACACAGATAAAGCCTAGTCCAGGACTAAACGTAAGCTCTATGGAGAATCTACACTGAAATAGTTTTAATCTTTAATAGACTTAATCTGTGTGGGAAACCAGCCCATAGTGTTGTACATACCTTCACCAACAAGAGGAAAATACACTGGAACAGTTTGTTTTGTAGGTTTATTACAACTATGCACAAGGAGAAGGGGAGGCAGAGGGCAAAAAAAAAACTCCCCCTCAAAAACCTACAATCGTCCCAAAAATAAAATGGTACAAAAAGTGTTCATAATATTTAAAAAAGGGAGAAAAGCAAGATCCATCCACACATTAAAATGACACCAAAGAACAGTAAGTGTAAAAGATCAATCCATTTTTCAGGTCCAAGTCCACAATAACCAGCTTCAGATGCGGCAGAGGATGAAAGATGGGTAGGGATGAGGTGAGGGATTCCAAATGAGTGCTTCTGGGAATTCTAACTGGTCTCCATCTGCAATTAAAAACAAGTGAAAATTAGGACCAAATTCCAGCTACAAAGATCAAGTCACTTACATTGAAGAATTGACATGCCTATACTTTCATGCATTTACCTTGGCATTGTAAGCATCCAACTGGGCATCCAGCTCTTCAGCAGACAACTGCTGCGGTTTGCCACCACCACGTCCACCTCTACCCCTGCCCCTGGAGCCTCCGCCACCCCGCCTGTCTCCACCTCCCCGCCTGTCTGTGAAATTGGGGCGTCCAATTCTGTCTCTGTTGAATCCACCACTGCCTCCATTTGAACTGCAAACAGGTTCAAAGAATCAATGAGTAACAACTGGTAATCACTAGACATTTTTAAATTTTTTACATCAATCGTACATGACAAGGAAAAAAATATTATAGAATCATCACATACCTCTGTGAAGGTCGTCTCTGGGTATCGATTTGTGACGTGACGTGCTGAATGCTCATGGCGCGGCCTGTGAGCAAAGGGAAAACAAGATTAGGCATCTTTGTTCAGAAGGGTTAATCAATTACTACATTATTATTTTATGACAAACAAGCTTCAAAACAATATTAATCAACTAATTCCAATTAAAGCTCACCATCGAGAGGTACATTGTTGTACTGTTTCATGGCTTTGAGTGCATCAGCCCTCCTCTCAAAGTGGACGTCAGCGGTTCCCTGGCTGCGGCCAGACCGGTCATAGTGAACAGCCGCTTTCTTCAATGTACCAAATTCCGCGAACAACTCCTGAAAAAAACATTACAAACACAATAAGAAACATGGCCGGTACAATTAATGTTTAACGTCAAAACGGTTTGGTGAATAGGCAGACATCTTTCTATCAATTGACTGTAGAAATTACCTGGATATCGGCGTCAGAGACACCGAAGTCAAGGTTTGAGACCAGGAGCTTGCCGCCAGTCTCCACACCGCCACCTCCAGCTCCCCCACCACCGCCAGCATTACCGCCGAAGCCACCTTCGAACATGTCGTGTTGCCATTTGTCCGGCAACTCTCTGGGCTGTAAAGGTACAATGAGAAAATGCATCTGCTGACTTCTGGTTCCCCTGCTCCTGCTGATCAGACTGAGCACATTTGAGTCAGTTGCTTAGGCAGGCAGGAGAATCTTGCATCATCACTATCATTTAGATACATTGGTCTATGGTGGATTTATGGTCAGTGTAACAGCACACATATTACTTAATAAAAACAACTAAATTAATATAGGAAATAAAGAACCAAAACTAAGCTAGTAGGACGGATGGCAGGACTTCAAAGTCAAAATGGCTCCTGCCCTACAGATGGTTTGAAGGTTGTGTAGGTAATTAGAATGGCAGTGTAGGCAACAAAACAACAAAAAACAGACTTGAACTCGATGGCAAGGACCACATCCAGATTCTTCTTCAACTCCTCCAAGTGTAGAAAAAGTCCAAAGAAAAATCCTTCCTTCAAAACGTGTGAAAGTCATTTTGTCATGCTCCCTTAACCGACCATGGAAAGTTCAATAAAGTTCTTTGGGTGTGTTGTGCTTTGCAGTCTGGGTCAAAAGTATGAAACAAAGAAAAACTCAATGTGGCACAGGAATGGTGGCCCAGTTGACTGAACATCCATTTTGAGTGTCGCCATTTTGTTAGCTTCGTTGCGTAAACAGTCCAATTCTTGATAATTTGACAAATCTGGGACTTTAAATTTAGGGCCGACAAATGAGATTAAGAATTTGTGGACTACCAAAACACCCACGAGGTACACGTTTTGAAGACCAAAGGTGAATATCTGGGCCAGCTGCATTCAAACTACACAAACAAGTGTTGGCTAGCTAGCTTATGAATGCAGATCAGCTCCGTTTTGATGTGGCCCACGAGGATGAACAACATGTTGTTAGCTAGCTAGTTAACGTTCACTCCCAGAAACTTGGGACATGAACATCAGTAACATTCAATAGTGCTGGCTGGCAACTGTTTGACCTGAAGCGGGGAAATGCAATGTAGACCATGGGCCCACAAACACGACTTTGTACGTCATTATCAAAGGAATAAACGTTTCTGAACAGTGGTTTCTTCTTTGGGTTGTGCCCTATAGCGCACTTCCCGTTGATAATTCCACATCCATCAGCAACTTTGCGAACTACCTGGTATGTGTAGCAGCACATTTTAACAAGATCGGCTAAATTATGTAACATTCGTCGTCGTCGCCTCTGCCATTCCTCCTTTTTCTGTGATCCTCCGTGTTCCTACCCTGCTGTATGGCGTGGGTCTGCTGTCGCTTCTGTCTCCGCTGAAGTTCTGTCGACTCCTCATGGGCCCGGATCCGCCGGTCCGGCCTCAGAGAGCCAGCTCCACCGGGTCGGCCTCCACTCCCACCTCGACCCGATGATCCTCGGGCCGCGGCCTCCTCGATTTCCGCGGCCACCTCCACCTTTCTTACTTTGTTGAATAATGTCATCCAAAGACATATCCATCTTATCAGCCATGGTGGCACTAGTCGTGTTAAAGATCAACAAATAATTGGAAAATGAACTTTTAGAATGTAGTTTTTGTTAGCAAAATCTAGCGGCTTTCCTCTGTGCTGATCAATGGCGAATAGCTCAAGTTTGAGTGACGTGACTGGGCCTTAAAGATAATTGTAGTAAGTGACGTAAGTGCATTCCTACTACCATTTCCGTTCGATTTAGCGCTTCTTTCACGACCAACGTCCTCTGCTGATATCTAGTGCCTCTATCCAGCATTGCAATCACAAAGGTACCTTTCTGGGGGGGACAGTGTATAATCAAAATAGTCAAAAGAGACCATCATATATTTATTTTTGACAATATTTTTAGATTTTTCTCAAATGCAAATAAACGAAAGGAAAAGACGAGACATATATTTACATGCTCTGGATGGCAGTATTGTACCTCTTTTGAAAACCTCTTTGATCCTCCACAGGCATGGGTGGCGATGTTTTCCCCCGATTCGAGGATGTAATGTTAAATGTGTGGGAACTCTCAGGAAATGTTTCGTGTCTTCATTTTAAAATCCAAGGTAGGACTTTAGAATTTGAATACATTTGCCATATTACTTACTAGCTAGTTATTCCAAATGTCAACAGCGAAGTAACATCATGTGGCGGTGCACCACAGCTTTCTAGACGAGCAAACATTAAATGACCTACTGTGTATAGCTAGCTGTCTGTCTGGTTACTGTAACGGTAGCTAACTACTAAGCCAACGTTAAGAGTTCTAACGTTAGCTAGGCTAGCCTAAACCACATTGAACCAAAGCATTTGAACATTCATACGTGTGCGGATCAGGTACACGGGAGATGAAGGTTAAAATCAAGCAGTGGAACGGCGTGGCATCCTGGCTGTGGATGGCCAATGATGAGAACTGTGGGATCTGCAGAATGTCTTTTAATGGCTGCTGCCCAGACTGTGAGTTTTTATATAAAGCTGCTTACTAACTAACTACTGAGTTATTCGACATGTCTTATCAACATACTAAGTCCCTGAAATGAATGTATGCACAAACTCAATATGGTACTTAGTGCATGTACAGTTCCTTCGGAAAGTATTCAGACCCCTTGACTTTTTCCACACAAAAAAAAATCCTCAGCAATCTCCACACAATATCCCATAATGACAAAGTGAAAACAGGTTTTTTGACATTTGTGCAAATTTTAAAATAATAAAAAACAGAACTACCGTATTTACATAAGTATTTAGAACCTTTGCTATGAGACTCGAAAGCTCAGGTGCATCCTGTTTCCATTAATCATCCTTGATGTTTCTACAACTTGATTGGAGTCCACCTGTGGTAAATTCAGTTGATTGGACATGATTTGGAAAGGCACACACCTGTCTATATAAGGTCCCACAGTTGACAGTGCATGTCAGAGCAAAAACCAAGCCATGAGGTCGAAGGAATTGTCCGTAGAGCTACGAGACAGGATTGTGTCGAAGCACAGATCTGGGGAAAGGTACCAAAACATTTCTGCAGCATTGAAGGTCCCCAAGAACACAGTGGCCTCCATCATTCTTAAATGGAAGAAGTTTGGAACCACCAAGACTACCTAGAGCTGGCTGCTCGGCCAAACTGAGCAATCAGGGGAGAAGGGCCTTATATAGACAGGTGTGTGCCTCTCCAAATCATGTCCAATCAACTGAATTTACCACAGGTCAGGGAGGTGACCAAGAACCCAATGGTCACTCTGACATTGCTCCTCTGTGGAAAAGGGAGAACCTTCCAGAAGGACAACCATTTCTGCAGCACTCCACCAATCACGCCTTAATGGTAGAGTGGCCAGGCGGAAGCCACTCCTCAGGAAAAGGCACATGACGGCACGCTTGGAGTTTGCCAAAAGGCACCTAAAGACTCTCAGACCATGAGAAACGCATCTGCTACAAGACCATGGTGCTTGCCTACGGAGCTGTGAGGGGAACGGCACCTCCGTACCTTCAGGCTCTGATCAGTCCCTACACCCAAACGAGGGCACTGCGTTCATCCACCTCTTGCCTGCTGGCTCCCCTACCTCTGCGGAAGCATAGTTCCCGCTCAGCCCAGTCAAAACTGTTCGCTGCTCTGGCACCCCAATGGTGGAACAAGCTCCCTCACGACGCCAGGACAGCGGAGTCACTCACCACCTTCCGGAGACATTTGAAACCCCACCTCTTTAAGGAATACCTGGGATAGGATAAAGTAATCCTTCTACCCCCTCCCCCCTTTACTCCAACCCCCCCCCCCCCCAAAAAAAATACATTGTAAAGTGGTTATCCCACTGGCTATAAGGTGAATGCACCTATTTGTAAGTCGCTCTGGATAAGAGCGTCTGCTAAATGAAGTAAATGTAATGTAAATGATGAAACCAAGATTTAAATCTTTAGACTGAGTGCCAAGCGTCACGTCTGGAGGAAACCTGACACCATCCCTACGGTGAAGCATGGTGCTGGCAGCATCGTACTGTGGGGATGTTTTTCAGCAGCAGGCACTGGGAGACTAGTCAGGATCGAGGCAAAGATGAACATAGCAAAGTACAGAGAGATCCTTGATGAAAACCTGCTCCAGAGCGCTCAGGACCTCAGACTGGGGCGAAGGTTCACCTTCCAACAGGACAACGACACTAAGCACACAGCCAAGACAACGCAGGAGTGGCTTCGGGACAAGTCTCTGAATGTCCTTGAGTGGCCCAGCCAGAACCCGGATTTGAACCTGATCTAGCATCTCTGGAGAGACCTGAAAATAGCTGTGCAGCGACGCTCTTCATCCAACCTGACAGAGCTTGAGAGGATCTGCAGAAAAGAATGGGAGAAACTCCCCAAATATAGGTGTGCCAAGCTTGTAGCGTCATACCCAAGAAGACTCAAGGCTGTAATCGCTGCCAAAGGCGCTTCAAAGTACTGAGTAAAGGGTCTGAATACTTGTGTAAATGTGATATCAGTTTTTATTTATTTATTTATAAACTAGCAAAAATTCTTATCCTGTTTTTGCTTTGTCATTATAGGGTATTGTGTGTAGATTGATGAGGGGGAAAAAACAAGAATCAATTTTAGAATAAGGCTGTAATGTAACAAAATGTGGAAGTTTAGGGTTAAGAATACTTTCCGAATGCACTGTATGTCTATTGATGCCTTCATATCTTGACGTTATGCATAAATTATCGTTTGATATCATGACGTGTTCAACGTTGTGACTAATATGGACACTCATCCTCTGAGGGGAGACCTTTCAGCAACATAATGTCTACTTTCCAGGTAAGGTTCCTGGAGATGACTGCCCATTGGTCTGGGGCCAGTGCTCCCACTGCTTCCACATGCACTGCATCCTCAAATGGCTCAACTCCCAGCAGGTCCAGCAGCAGTGCCCAATGTGTCGGCAGGAGTGGAAGTTCAAAGAATGAGCTCATCCGGACAACATCACTTGAATGCCTTTCAAAGACAGACTGATGCGTCACAATCAGAGGATTCTAACGTTTCGGAATACATATGCTTGTTTTTTTTTTGTACATTTCCAGCTACTTTGTTTTTCTCTGAGGCTGTCATCGTTTGTATTCTGTGGAGGGGTGTGTGAATGATGACAATGAATGTGAATAAATGTATGATTAGGATTTAATCTTGACCTGCTACTGATTTTAATTTTATATAGTGGTTTTCTCAAACTCAAAGGTCTTTACATTGTATGAGAGTAACTCTCCTCTTTAACAAGCTGACCAATGATTAATCAATGCAAATTCATTGAATTGGTATCTATAGCCCCTGAGATTAACTGCACTGTGTGTACAAAACATTAGGAACACCTGCTCTTTCCATGACAGACTGACCAGGTGAATCCAGGTGACAGCTATGATCCCTTATTGATGTCACTTGTTAAATCCACTTAAATCTGTAGATGAAGGGGAGGAGACCAGTTAAATGATTTTTAAGCCTTGAGACGAGACATGGATTGTGTATGCTTACCATTCAGAGGGTGAATGGGCAAGACAATATTTAAGTGCTTTTGAACGGGGTAGTAGGTGCCAGGCGCACCGGTTTGAGTGTGTCGAGAACTGCAATGTTGCTGAGTTTTTCACGCTCAACAGTTTCCCGTGTGTATCAAGAATGGTCCACCACCCAAATGACATCCAGCCAATTTGACACAACTGTGGGAAGCATTGGAGTCAACGTAGGCCAGCATCCCTGTGGAACGCTTTCAACACCTTGTAGAGTCCATGCCCGACGAATTGAGGCTGTTCTGAGGGCAAAAGGGGGTGCAACTCAATATTAGTAAGGTGTTCCTAATGTTTTATACACTCAGTGTACATGTCCTATTGTTTTGACAGTCAGGACCACGCAGAACAAACCAAAAGTGGAGCCCCACCCGAAGTACATAGAAACTTATTTCAAACCACTCATATAGGATCAGATACATACACCCCACTAATAGGTTAGGGGTAGGATAGTTTGCTGCTAGATATGTGGTGTACGGGAAACTTCCACTCTTGATACTGGTGGGGTATTTTCTTGTGGCTAAAGCACAACCTGACTTGGCTTTAGATTTCCTCAGCCCTTTCCCAAATTCAACTTGTCTCTCTAAATCCATCAGAAAGCAGCACCTCAGCCAATACTGTACAGTACTCATTGTGCAGAGGCATGGATAATCACCTCCTGCAGAGAGCTGGTCCAATTAACAAGCATTAACTTGATCCCCGGCTGGAGCCATCCTACCGGGAACTGTACCTTGCTTCAATGTTAGGAATGCTTCTCAGTCCACCAAGGTTAATTGGAACCAAGATTGGTTACTGTAGTTTGAAATTAAAGTAAAAATAATACATTTTCTTTCTCTTCAAACAGTTTTGTCAAGTTCTTATACCAGTAGTTGATAAAGACAAATAGATCACTAAGTTGTTTTTGTATGAAACAATTTTAATAAAAATAACTTATTTACAAAGCGGTGTAACCACAATTGATTGCACACGGTTGTTATAATGATTGTAAAAGCAATTGTAAACACACAATTTACCATTCCAGTGGTGTTTGCAAAAGTTTGGAGGTAAAGTGTTAGACTAACATTCATGTCGTACATTTTAGAGTACAAACAGTTTGCAGGGTACATATTCATGTGGTACATATGCAGGGTATTCATTTCAAATTGAAAAGTCGTATGATGTAAATGACAACTCTTGAACTATAAACGCTGTCAGTAGGTAGAGTTGACCTATCACATTGGTTTACTGTGGTGGGCAGTAGGCCCTATTGCAGAATGGCCCTACGTGTCAGAGGACAACGACAGATCCATGTTTCACAACTTCCAAAAAAGCTTTCACACATCAACTATATAAAGCAATTAGAAAAGCTGATTACCATACTGTTATCTAATTCATTTCAGTGCTGCGTTCACCCTGTATAAAAAAAGTACAAAAGCTCAAACTAACTTCTGCACCTGCAAACAGCATTACAAAGCGATGCCTGCTGAGATTTCCTGGGAGGAGCCCCTTTCCAGTAACAGTTCAGTTCACTCTCAAAGGCAACCATCTACTGTTGGCTGGCCTCCTTCCTCCCAACAGACCAGATATGTCTCCAGGACCACCTCGAGGGAGGGCACTGAATGACGATGTTCTACCGATCTGTCCATTTCATTCCATTGTCGAGGGGCAACCGGGAGGCCTGGACGAGGAAGGAGACTGAAGATTCAGTGGAGTTTTAGGGTTAGATGAGGAGGAGAGCTCAGTCGTCCTCCACCCCAAGCAGCACCTGCAGCTCCCGAACCCCCGTGCACTCTGGGTCGATGAGATCGGCAGGTGTCTCCCCACACTCGTTCTCCGCCTGAGGGTCGGCGCCAATAGAAATCAGGTACCTGGTGGGAGAAGCAGAAGAAAAGCATTGTCAGTAAAGAAAGTATCCAATGGTATGTACCGTGCTGAGATAGTTAAACGTGAGATTCTTCAGAGGGTTAGAGGAAAGTGGCAGATCCTCAGTGTAGTTTACTGCTATCGGGGTATGAGGGCTACTCAAAATTCAGCCAATGCGTGTTTTGGTTTGTCTTCCTTGTAAGGGCTTGACACTTTAAACCGGCAGTGTGAGCTGCGTCCTAGTGACGTACAAATCTAAATCTTCACCTATCCTGAAATGCATTGAATACCTGAACTGCAGGGATGCTGCATTGACATTGTATGGCCAGCAGCAGAAATACAAGTTAGTCAGGCTTGAAGTTGATATTAATAGTACATCGGCTCAAGACCCAGTTGTACTAGCCCACTGACCTTGCTTAATGTGTGTGGATAAATAAATAAAGCTAGTGACTGTTGATGTGTGGGTATGCTAGGTGCGTTGACTCACTTGGCAATGTCAGGGAATCCGTCGCTGCAGGCCATGTGGAGAGGTGTCCAGCCCTCCTCGTCTCTCTGGTGGATGTCTGCTCCGTGCTTCACCAGCAGCTTCACACACTCCAGGTTCCCAGAGAGGACGGCCTCATGGATCGCTGCCATACCTGCAGAGCCGTCAATGGGAATGGATGTGAAATAGCATCAGTACAGGTTCATTGAAGGAACACTCAATGATCAAAGTTTATACTGAGGCATTAGTCCATTACTGTATGTGCTACAGAGACTCAGGTCAATGCATCAATACTGGAGTCATTAGAAATGATCAAGTCTTTGGAATTGTTAAGCCCAGTTGAAATCTAACCAGAGCATGAAGACACTTCTGATGCTTCAAGCTCTTGAATGCATTAAAATGGTTTCCATTTTGTTCTGATTTCATGGTGACTCACCAGAGTGGTAGATGGTTTCCAGGCTGACCCTCCTCTTTCTGATGAAGAGTCCAATCCTGTCCAGCTCGCCCTGCCGGACGTAGTCCTGGAACACAATGTCGTTGGGGAAGTGGACGCTGCGGACCGGTTTGATCCGTGGAGAGGAGCGGGCGCAAGAAGAGCTGCTGGACTCTTTGGGGCCATAAGCCTTGATGCCCATGGACTGGGAGACTGGGTACTGGTAGTACTTCATCCTCGTGAAAGTTCTGTCTTGCTCAAAGATAAAACAATTGTGAAATCGAGTGACAGAAGAGGATTTCAGATGAAAATCTTCAAGCCTTTTTCAGCGGTAAAATAAACCAAAGGCAGGGAAATTAGACATTCAAGATATGTCCTTCAAAAAAGCCTTTCCTCTTTCGTCAATGGCTCTCGTGGTGCAGTGTCCTGGATGTTTCAGACAGTGGGGCAAGTCCTGTTCTGAAATCCAGGGCCTGCGTCTAGACCTCTATATACTCTCTGCAGGGCTATTTTAGGTTCCATCACCTCACAGGTCAAGTTCTAGAATTGGAAGATGAGTGGCCCTAGAAAGCGGGTCCCTCCTCCTACCATCCTGTCACAAGCATTGGATCGCCAGCCATGACAGTAGCAGTAACCATAGCTTCTGTTTTCACCCACTCCTCCCCCCTGCTTTTGAACATGACCCCTTCCAGATGCATGACAGCCACTGGTCACACACCACTGAAGGGGAGAACCTTCTCGTAAACAGGACATAAAAATGGTTTACTGTCAATAGATGCTAATGCTAGGCACAGGGCCAAGAGGGGGTGAAGTGTCATGACTGGGCTGTTGAAAATAACAATGTTGATAAAGCGTTTCAATTAGAACGACTTGGGCAAATGAATCTGTCAAAGTCATATACTATGCATACCATTAACATTACAGAAAGGTAATAACCAGTCAAAAGGGCTTTAGTTTGGTCGTCGTGGGAAATTCACTGCAAGAGACTAATCCAGTAAGCATGACTTAAAAATCGGCACTGATTCTTCATTGAATCATAGTTACGGACTGAAGTATTATGTGTTATAACCATTAGAAACATTGGGCCCTAGTTATAGCCTATTTACTGGCATACGTGAGGGAAAAAAGTATTTGATCCCCTGCTGATTTTGTACGTTTGCCCACTGACAAAGAAATGATGAGTCTATAATTTTAATGGTAGGTTTATTTGAACAGTGAGAGACAGAATAACAAAAAAATCCAGAAAAACATGTTAAAAATGTTATAAATTGATTTACATTTTAATGAGGGAAATAAGTATTTGACCCCCTCTCAATCAGAAAGATTTCTGGCTCCCAGGTGTCTTTTATACAGGTAACGAGCTGAGATTAGGAGCACACTCTTAAAGGGATGTTACCTGTATAAAAGACACCTGTCCACAGAAGCAATCAATCAATCAGATTCCAAACTCTCCACCATGGCCAAGACCAAACAGCTCTCCAAGGATGTCAGGGACCTACACAAGGCTGGAATGGGCTACAAGACCATCGCCAAGCAGCTTGGTGAGAAGGTGACAACAGTTGGTGCGATTATTCGCAAATGGAAGAAACACAAAATAACTGTCAATCTCCCTCGGCCTGGGGCTCCATGCAAGATCTCACCTCGTGGAGTTGCAATGATCATGAGAACGGTGAGGAATCAGCCCAGAACTACACGGGAGGATCTTGTCAATGATCTCAAGGCAGCTGGGACCATAGTCACCAAGAAAACAATTGGTAACACACTACGCCGTGAAGGACTGAAATTCCTGCAGCGCCTGCAAGGTTCCCCTGCTCAAGAAAGCACATATACATGCCCGTCTGAAATTTGCCAATGAACATCTGAATGATTCAGAGGAGAACTGGGTGAAAGTGTTGTGGACAGATGAGACCAAAATGGAGCTCTTTGGCATCAACTCAACTCGCCGTGTTTGGAGGAGGAATGCTGCCTATGACCCCAAGAACACCATCCCCACCGTCAAACATGGAGGCGGTAACATTTCTTTGGGGGTGTTTTTCTGCTAAGGGGACAGGACGGGGCCATGTACCGTGAAATCTTGGGTGAGAACCTCCTTCCCTCAGCCAGGGCATTGAAAATGGGTCGTGGATGGGTATTCCAGCATGACAATGACCCAAAACACACAGCCAAGGCAACAAAGGAGTGACTCAAGAAGAAGCACATTAAGGTCCTGGAGTGGCCTAGCCAGTCTCCAGACCTTAATCCCATAGAACATCTGTGGAGGGAGCTGAACGTTCGTGTTGCCAAACGTCAGCCTTGAAACCTTAATGACTTGGAGAAGATCTGCAAAGAGGAGTGGGACAAAATCCCTCCTGAGATGTGTGCAAACCTGGTGGCCAACTACAAAAAACATCTGACCTCTGATTGCCAACTAGGGTTTTGCCACCAAGTACTAAGTCAGGTTTTGCAGAGGGGTCAAATACTTATTTCCCTCATTAAAATGCAAATCAATTTATAACATTTTTGACATGCGTTTTTCTGGATTTTGTTGTTATTCTGTCTCTCACTGTTCAAATAAACCTACCATTAAAATTATATAGACTGATCATTTCTTTGTCAGTGGGCAAACGTACAAAATCAGCAGGGGATCAAATACTTTCTCCCCCTCACTGTAGGTTATCATGGTAGAAAATCCAGTTATGATAGTCTCCCTTTTTAAAACTCCACAGTATTGCTATAGAAACAAAGTTGTGCTGAAAAGTGCAAGAATAAAAGCCAACAGTACATTTTTCATATTTTTATTTATTTATTTGGCCACCAGTTTTCACTTTTCCACGTCAAATTCAATGTGATGGAATGCGTTTGTTTCTAAGTCATTTCCCCCACCCCCTTGAACAGCTGCGGTTGAACGTCACAACCCTCACCCCGGTCTGCTCTACTCAACCCTCCCATCCCAGCCAAACATCACAAAAAAACATTCACAACCTTGTCCCTGGACGTGAGAAAAAAAAAAGCAGACTCAATCACACGCACGCTTACACACGACTCCATAATCATCACCGCACACACACCCAGGCACACAAACACCTCCATGGGGACAAGAGCGCCAGGTAGAGCCGAAGCCAGAGGGATGGGGGTAGTACAGGTACTGTAGGGCTGTGGCACTGTTCCAGGACAGAGACCGCTCTCAAGTCCCAAAACACACTTCCTTTTACATAACCACCTCTGCTCCTTCAGTAACCATGTGGAATCTGACGGCATGAACACAGTAGCCTGGTCTCAGATACGTTTGTGCCGTCTGGTCAAGACCATAGGAGTTGGCGAGACCGCCCAAACAGATCTGGGACCAGGCTATGAACAGTGCAACAAACAGAAAACAGTCCCGGGCCACCACACTAATCCCAGGTCTGAGAGAATAAGAGGGCCAACTCTGCCCCAGCTTAAACTTTAGCTTTCGCTGGGCATTACTGGTATACACAGATCATTTAAATGACAGATTTAAAAAATATATATTGAATGAAAATACAATTAAATAAAACAAGCTATTTCCAAAGTGTATTTTTTCTCTTAAAAATAAAATGTCAGTAGCCATGCTGAAATGAGGGAAACTGAACTGAAATTGAAAACATATGATTTGTAGACTTAGAGGGAATGAAGGCAGAGAGAGAGGAACACAGTGACCCTCAAGATTGGTCTCAGCTACAGATGCATATATTGCTTTCCAGAGGCCCCTGTGCTACACGGAACACGTTGCTTCTTTACTTGTTACTCTTTACAAAAAGACAATCGGATGGCCCCCAAGTCCCCTGAGAGATCAGTCCATACATCCCACCATATATAACACCTCTGGCCCTCAGAACGCCTAGCAGAGGAACAAGAACATGAGCAGCCCCACCATCCCAAACCTAAAAACCAGCTACACCGCAAAACTAAACTGGACCATCCTCACACTGAGGCAGGGTGGGGGAAAAGTAATTTGACAGGAAATGACAGGTACAATAACCCAATTTGTGGATCCAACTGGATATGTCAAGTACAGTATCTTAATGCAGTTAACATTTTGGTTCAAATATACAAGGCAATACAACTCCATCGTTTGATTGATGAGGAACGTTGGTAATGAAAAAAGCCGTTAAGACCACGAGGTGCCGTTCTGCTCTGTTGAGTTCCCATGACAAGGGGACAGACGAGTCCATCTGGTCCAGAGGGCGGGAGAAGGGGGATAGAGGTTGGAGAGGTGGCTTCAGGAGGGGGGGCTGGTCGAGGGTCCTGACACATCTGCTGACTGACTGAGGAGTAGTTAAAGGATAAGTATTAGTGTTCACAGAACAGGGGTGGAAGTGATGGTGGTTGGTTGGTAGAAGGGGTGGGGGTTCGTCTCTCCTCCTCCGGGTCTTATAACTCATCATGGTCGCCACCGTCAGAATCACTGTCCTGTTCGTCCAGGTCTTCCATATCCTGGGAGGAGAAGAGAGGAGGAGAGGGTCTTTAACACCTGCCTGGAGGAAGCCTCTCTCTGAGTCTGGCCTGACTGGTCATGCAGTTCTTGGGAGTAGAAAGCTTGGAAGCTATAATGAATATTGTGGTGCGAGGATACTATGCAGCTCATCTTGTGTGGCTGTCCTGATACATGAACCATATGCTCAAATCCAAAAATGGGCTACATGACATGCTTGAGAGGTTGTTGTTGAAAGAAACGTGACCTGGCGAAACATGTCCATCTATGGTGAAACATATGTACATATGAAAACAACCTAAAGACTAGACACGTGGGGCACTGAGGTTTACCTCAAAGGCTCTCCCTGCACATACATCACTTTCGGCAGATCGCATGAACAAATATGGCATGGTAACCCAAACAGTTAATAATGAATAATGTTTACATATCGTTTTACCCACTTCATATGCATATACACTATTCTAGTCTAGGATGTGGGGGTGAGGAAGGTAGGGTTGGGGATGTTGACTTGCACGTTCGGTCATGAGACCTGGTCCCAAGGGATAGCCTGGTAAACAGCGGCGACAGCTGCAGGGGGCATTAGTGACAGCAGTCGGGGCATGGTCTGCAATTAGACTTCTGAGAAGGGGGTGTGGTGGGTGGGGTGTGTGTGAGGTAGTGGGACGAAGGCCTTCAACTAGTTTGAGCTGGATCTCCAGAGGATTTTGGATGCAGGCCCTGGTCTTAGCACCCAGCTAGGTGCCAGGGATGGAGCGAAACCTCAGCCGCATCTCAAAAAGCCACCAGGCTTATTTTAGAAACATTAGAGAGATTACTGGCTCTGGCCATTTGGCTTCGAAATGGGGAGAGAAAAACCCCATCATTCCCTTGAATGAAAGAAGTCTTGGATGATGATGTAAGGAACATGATACATTTTCACAAAATGTCTTACTCTGTTCCACCCGGGCATTATGGGATCTCCTGGTATGAATTCTATTAGTCAGAATTATTACAAACTCAGGTCAGGATTTTGAGTGGGTCAAGTTTGTCATGTCCTTCATTGAGGATAGACATGGGCTGCTGATGTAATGAGCATGTCTGTCTGGCTGCCTGCTGTGCTTGAAGACAGTTCATGGAAGTCTTAGTCAGGTTGACCTACATCTCTAGATGCAAGACCCAGTTTCCTCCAGGTTGGATGGGAAAGTGGTTGAGTCAGTGAAGTGAGATGGGGAAAGGCACCAGACTTCAACACTGACAAATAAATAACACCATGTAAAGCAGACCCATTCCATTTGTTTCTGCATTGTCCTATGGCAGAGTAGGCTTCACTTGCAGGGAGGACAGATTGCATTCACAGGTAGGCATGTGGTTACCCAAATCTTCAGGAGAGGTGGTCCTGTGGGTCTATTCTGGGTGACCTACAGGATACTGAATATCCCCCCCACAAAAAAAAGCATCTAGTGCTGTAAGAGGCCTTGCTTGCACATGCACAACTCTTGGACCAGTTTCTGGGGAGAATCGTAGTTTGTATTCAATTGATCAGGTTAAACCTTCTCCAACTTTGCTGCATTCTCCTGCCCCGTCCACTAATGCATTGCTTTTACTGGATAACATTGGGTTGGCTGTAATTCAAACGCACCATTTTTTGACAGTTTGAAAGCGGCCTTGAGCAACATGCACATTTCAACGAGACATATACTCAGCATATGACCGTGTAAAAAATAAGTCATTGGGTGAAAAAGGTGGGTGTTTACAGATCGAAACTGCAAGTAAAACGGTTGGGCTTTCAAAAGGTTGCCACGATTACGGTTTGACATCATAGCAATGCCTTGTGGTTGAAAGTTATAAGTTGCAAGTCTTGCAAACATAATTGTAGTGTCTGCTTAAGGATGAAGACTCCCAGGTGTGTACTTACATCCAGACCCTCATCCTCCTCCCCATCTTCTCCAGCTGGTGCTCCGCCATCCTTGCCTCCGCTCTCCAGGAACTTGGTGAAGCCCTCCAGCGTCCTCTCACCATTGTAGTCGACCACCTGCATGGAAGAAAATCACATGCATTAAATGTATATAGGGATTCAAATACAAAATGGGTCATTTCCCTTTGCTTTTCCATGAGAAAGACTGACTGCATGCATTGCCAACTATCAAATGTGGCAAAATTGGAGCTATAAAACCCCATGAAAAGTCCAGTGGCCTATTTGTCAAAGATTCTACTGAAATCCTATTTAAATGTTTAATTATTAAAAATCAGCCTGTGGGGTCCCGCAACAACACGTGCTAATTTGAATCTGGAGCCAATAACCTGAGGCCTCTGGCCATCTTCAGATCTGTGCCAATGAGTGGTCAAGAGGAGATCTACAACTATTGATGGAGGAGAGAAGGCTAAAAGGTATGTTGTTTATGGCCCTTCTCCTTTATAGAACCAGTTACTATAGCGCTGCCCTTGAGATCGGTCTTGAGGACAGTCGCGGAGCTCTGCCTCCAGACCCATGCAGTCTTAGCCAGTCAATACAGACCATAACGAGCCATCAGACAGAGAGGCGGAGCCTGGGGCTACTCGTGCAGCTGCCCCCTTCCCTAGCCATCTCTGGCTCTGTCACATTGAGGAATGGCTCAGGGTTAACCCCAGGGCTCTTAGCGAGGGGGATACCAGCACACAGCTCCCAATTAAGGCTGCCAACCTCTTCAAGGAGGCTTTCTGTAGTTGACTGCTATGGGCTATAGTTCAGTAGGGTGGCTGGCATGCCTCTGCGGGTTGGTTGAGGGCCAGGGTGGTCTTTAAGAGCAGGTTTGCGGTTTTCATCTTGAATCTTGTTGTAGCTGGCACAGCCTCAGTCATAAAATCTTAACTACATTGCTAAACCTATTGCCTAACATTAAAACCAAAAAGCATTTACAAACTATAGCCAATTTTGACTTTGCAGCTGGCCTATCTAAGGGGAAAATGCTCAGTTCTGCCTCCAAGACAAGACTCATGACAATAAATGTCAACCTGCTCTTTAAGAGCTGGGGTGAGGGTCTCTAGAGGATCCCAAGAGGGAGAGGGCATTATCGGGCACCCATTAATGAGGGGTTGGGGGTGGTAGAAGTCGTAAACACCCCCACAACACCCCCACTCAGACGGCCATCAGGCTCGGGTTTCGTCATGTGTGAAATTATTAAGAAGTGAAAGATTTCAGTAGGGTGGATGGATGGGTATGGGTGGCCAATAGCCATGCTTTGGAGGTGTTTACCGAAAGAGCCAAAGCCCAGAATGAGAGGTGCTACTAACTGAAGGGGGTTAAATCTCTCTCGAGAGCTTGGTTTTCAAAAGTGAGACCCGTGCTCGAATGCCGTGCAATTTATCGCTGGCTATGTTGAGAAAATTAGCCAATTAAAAATATATATGTTGTCATGTTATCGCAAAAGGGGAATTAGACCTATAGACCTTGGTCATTCCAAAATGGGGTTGTATGGAGGACTTCTATAGTCATGCAATAATCTCATCACATTTGGGTTTATAGCACGGCCCCCTCTGTCTCAACTCAAACGCCATCCCCTAGTGTGGGACAGAGGGACTGACCAGCCGAGGACCATTTCGATGAAAACGTTGTAATGATACATTTGGGAGTCAACTGCTTCAGTAACAAATGGCTGCTGACACAGACATTCCACGTCTTTCCAGTAGACTTACCTTGTGCTCATCCCCTGCAGGGAAGAACTTGAGTGTGGGGAAGCTGTGTACTTTGACTGTCTCGATCTCGTTGGCTGTGGAGTCCATCTTGGCCACGATGATGTCGGCGCTGTCCTGGTACTTCTCTCCCAGTTGGGTCCAGATGGGGTCAATCTGTTTGCAGTGGCCGCACCAGGGTGCATCTACAGTGGGGAGAACAGAGGAGCAGCCAGGTATAAGTCCCATGGGCAAAAAGCAGTCATGCGTTAACAGCAGCATGCAAAAGTCATATAAGATCTTATTCATGGATTGATGAGAACATTTTCATGTCCCATACAAGCTCATTGATTATCACCTGAATGCTTAGGCTGGTTGTTGTATTGCATGACGTTACTTTACCTTCCATTTCTATCCATGGTAGAAGTATCATGCATGGACATAAATACTCACTGATGCACAGATATGCATGGAAAATATAATGCATGGCTGTATAGGATCATTTATACAATGGAAAGTGACTGGAATGGGAGAATCTCTTGCAAGCGGCCCATTAATTCAAGCCTGTGTGCTGTAGTTGCCGAGGCTGGCAGTTGGGTGTACGACAGCTGTGCCTCCCTACAATGCCATCCTGTCCCATCCTGCCCTGGCAACCCAAACACTGGGAAACTTCAAAACACGCACGGAGCATGGCACGTGCGCCCCCAGCATTGATTAGTGTGGAGGATTGACTTAGGTCCCTATCCCAGTCTCTTGTACATCTGCTGGGGCTAGGAGAAAGACTCAGGTTTCAGACTCAGGAGATAGATTCCCACCACTCTTCCTCCCTCCACGTGGGTGGTGTAATCAAAAGAGCGCACCTCAAAATATATCAGGGCCATCGACCCCTGAAAAGGGAGCCTGTTGACCACCTGGGGCTTACATATGGTACTGGGATTGACGAGAGGGGGTAGTACTTACAAAACTCAACGAAGACGTTCTTTTTGGGGTCGAAGACTACCTCCTCAAAGTTCTTGCCGACCAGGACTTTGACGGGGTTCTTGTCCCAGTCTTCAGGTTTGTCCTGGCTCATGAGGTGGGGCTGTTGGGGGAGACACGAAGAGGAGAGATTGACAAAAGATTACATGAATTTTGCAAAACTAAGAATGAGCTGAATTATGTTAGTTCCAAACTAAGCAACACTTGAATTCTGGGTCGTTACCCTGTTGAATGGTACAGAAACATGATTCCCAAGTCATGAGGCAATCTCCTATACAATGGGAATTATGCAAAACCTGCACAGTGCACATACTCCGTCACACCACTAAAATGAATATGGAGTCAAACCAATACTTACTAGTTCAAGTTCGTGATGGAGGCCCACATTTGGTTGTGTCTTCCTAAAAGTCCTAACAGCTTGCACTAAACCTTATGACATAAGAATTGACATTTGGACTACTTTCTGGTACAGCGTGTTAGCCTACATCTGCACTTTCAATCCATTGCCATTGACGCACAGCCATCGAGACATGACTGCACTGCAGTGACATAAGAGTAATGGAGACTGATTCATCAATGTCTACAGTAGGGCACGGCTGTTCTCACCGTCTAGGCTGGACTGTGGCCTACAGTGCTGAACTTCTCAGCAGTCAGGGGCATCCCAATGATCTAGAAACACCAGTAACCCTGTAATCTGAGTAACACTATGTTCTTACACACACACACGGAGCATGTACAATTGGAGTGTGTGTAGTCATTATTAGGCCAACACACACACACACACCTTGAGTTTGCCCTCGGTGAAGAGTGTGCAGAAGGCGACGATGTTGTCGGCGGTGATGGCCTCGCTCTCGGGCCTGTACTTGGTCATCTCGTCCTCCAGAGTGATGAGGCGGATGGCGGGACACTCCTCCTTCTTCAGCCCAAAGAACTCCAGGATGCGCTGGTTGTCGTCCACCTCGCTGTCGATGAAGATGAACAGGATCTGGGAAGGAGAGGAAGATTAAATACGAGGGTCAAGTATCTAGCTTTTAGTCTAGGTAGGTATGTGAAGTACAATCCAGTACAGTCTGTGGTACATACCGAGACGCAGAACTGCACGTGCAGTACATTACTTTCAAGGCACTGGGTGAAAAATAGCTGCCTTTCTCACAATAAATAGATCAGGAAAAACAAGCACACTGCCTTTCCTGGAGATAGGGTACAATGAATGAAGGTCGTCACTTTGAATCTGTTCAGACAGTCTGGTCCACCCACCTTGCCCTTGAATCCCTCGGCTGCTTTCTTGAACTCGGCCATTTTGTCGTTGAAGTCTGAGGCAGCCTTGGGCACGAACATGAGGATGTGAGACTTGATTTCTCCTCCGAAGATCTTGGGGGCGGTCTGCAGAGCAAACAAAATGTTATGAAGCGTGAATGTCATACACGGGGAACAAAGCTCAGCTTAAAGTTGTGGTAAAGGCACTGAAGGGCCTTGTGATAGCCGTCATAGGGCCTTGGTGGGGATGAGGCTGTTGATAGATTCTGTAGCTTTGTGTGACAACAGAAGAAAGTTCATCTGGGAAAAAGTGTATTTTCTGAGTGGTCGAGAGTGTGTGTGTGTGTGAGGATATTTGAGACAGCGCATCTGAGTATCAGCGGAACAAAGTACGGCCATTACCTGCTCGGTGAACTCGATGACCAGGGGCAGCTGGTTGGCCTTGATGAAGGCCAGCAGGTCAGCCTTGCTCAGCTCTCCGTCAAAGGTGTTACGACCCTCATCGAACTGTGGAGGAGAAAACAGATGGAAACATTAGTTGGAAGCAAAACCCGTTAATACGCCACCAACTTTCCAGTTTAGTCCCATTTGATTATATTCTGCCTGTGAACTCCCCACAACCCAAACATAGATTTACCAAAACAAGCTCATTTAAATCCCTTTGGTAACCCCAGCCGAAGAAAGCACCGGTAGGCTAAATGGGGTTTTATTGAGTGTGAAGAATAGCTATACAGTGCCGGGCAGCTCTTCCTGGTACACAAAGGGAAAGTGGGGAGACCACAGGAGTTACGGACATTGACCAAAGCAGTGAAACTCAAGCCTCTGAGTGTTAAACAAGTAAAGGGAGGGCAGGGTGACAGCTGTCTATTGAAACAGTCAGAGCTTTGGGACTTTTCTAAACTGTGGGCATTGGGCCATGAGTGTGTGTGTGTGTGTGTGTCAGGGTTGGATTACACACACAGTAAGCAGACAATAGTGGGGTAGTATGACGACTGATGAGCGGGGGGGGCTGCCCGGGCGATAAGATGGAGGAATCCCATCTATGTCTCATTAGAGATGGAGGGTTATGCCTTTAAAATGACGGCCAGAAATCTATTGAATTGCGACATGTAAATGCCTGTCGATGAGCTGTGTCCTCCCTGACCACTAAATGGGCAATGATTTAAAAAAGTAGGATAAAAAAATTCTAAACAGATTGAGAGAGATGGAGACAGGTTGACTGACAAGTATGATCTGGTCTAGTCTTGTCCAGCGATGAAAATAAAAAAAGGTTTCTGGGTGGCAACTGTTTTTAAAATGTCCCATTGGAATCTTACTTCTGCTGAATAGGAGCCAAATCCTAACTTGAGATCTAACCCACATAGACATCAGTGCATTATTTCTGAAGTTTGAGATTCAGCCCTATGCCTCATAGTGGAAGACTTTCAGACCATGTTTACAACTACTCAACCCAAACCCCCACTGGCAGCTGGCTTCTTTCCTTGTTGACCACTGATGACTTATCAGGTGAAAGGAAGAATGTATTTGACATAACATCTGATATCTATGGAAAGGCAGGAATGTGGCCATGACAAGTTGCATAACATCTAATGGAATGTCCATGTGGACTGTGACCCAGTTCAGCCCAAGTCAGTTTACGCTTAGCTGACAAGATGTGGCTTGGCTTTGAAATATAATATATAAATGTAAGTCGCTCTGGATAAATGACTAAAAATAAATACAAAATAATAATAATATGGATATCCAATTACCATATCTGCTCCTTTCAAGAATTATTGTCATTTGAGGGAGGGGAGAGGGTAAGACCATTACATGTTGGAGCTGAATTTAATGACCAGTTGGCCTTCCCTGTCAAATCTGAATGAAGAGGAATCCCTCATCTTGCCATTACCGGGGAAATGCTGGTTGAAATTAATGAATTCCTCATAGACAGTCTACACTTGAGTATGAAGGAAGAATCTCAGGAGGGCTTAATCAAAGAAGATAGCATGCCCCTTCTTTTGAACTGTTAAGAGCTGCACTGTACTTTAGAGATAGCTTGTCACCTGTACTTGTTCTTCATTCACAGACACCAGCCAATGAGACTAGCAGGGAAACCCCATGACCTAATACAGCGGATGCCACTAACCCATCAGTGATCATCTAGGCATGTCTAGCTCGATGATCTCATCCTCTTCAAAAGGCAGAATGCAGCAATGAGCCCAAAAGCAGGCAGAACGAGAGTCAGACGCATTCCCAGAGCAGAACCTCAGAGGTCTACAGGCTAATATTAGCAGGCCAAGACCGGATACTGCTGTAGATATGGGGTCGTCGGATTCCAATACCTAGCTGACATCAGGCTGTGTGGGTCGTAAAAGAATCAAGCCTGTCTGCAGCTACCCTCCAGATTGATGTTAAGTGATGGTATGGGTTACGCTCGTGATAATCAAATCTGATGACCAGGTCATTCATAATGTGTTTATTATCCAGTTAAATTTAAATAACTGGTAAAACATGCCAATAATCACTACTAGACAGCAAAGTAGAGAATGCAAAAACCGTAAGGATTCACTGCTAAGATATAGCTTCCAGGCAGCAAGCAGTCTACAGAGTCCGATGGATCGAAGGGTTACACCATGATCAGGGTAGTAATTTTGAAAGAGATGAAAACGTTTGGGGTGATTAAGTCATACTGAATCAAAGTATTCACGCCGTACCTTCTTGAAGAGGACCACTCCATCCTTGGACACCTCGAACTTGGAGAAGATGGCGTCGTTGGAGGTGATGCCGAATGGAACATCATCGACGGCCTCGGCAGCCTTCAGGAAAGCCTTCGCTCCCTCAGACTCCGCATCCTGGAGGACAAAGAGACGCTTAGCTTAGATGCCGTCATACATGAACCGTAAAACTCATTCATGTAGGAAATTAATGATTAAAACATGCCCATCTATGCCTTGATAATTCATTTAAACTGTGAGAGAATGATTTTATGTATTCCTATTGAAAATTAGCCAAAACTATTGATCAGTACTGAAAAAGTGTCAAACAACTAGCGGTCTAGTGGGAAATAGGGCTTAGTAGGCACTAAACTTTCCTGCAAAGAATCACTACAGATCGGCCTTGTAGTATCACAGTGACCTCGCGCAGCTAGGTCAGAGGTCATCGTCTCACCTTGAAGAAGCCGATGACCGCTACCTCGTTGTCGGCGATCATGGACTCTGCCTGGGCGACCTCCCCCAGGGTGGTGGCGGACGGTCCGGTGCGCTTCTTCAGCCAGTTGACGATGTCATCAGCCTGTCTGCCAGCTGCAGGAAGGGAACAACAGTTCTAGTAAGTCACTGGCCGCATTCAAACATTAATAATGTATGAGATTGATTCCCTACTTCCTTTGTTTGTTGTACTGTATTATTCACTGAGCAGACAAGGTTGGCCATGGTAAACAATACAACAGAATGGCAACCCTGCCTTCGTGTCTTCTAATCATGTACAGATCAGAGATTATGGCAAGGGCGGACGCAAGGATGCATTTTGAAGTATTGGAACAGGGCCCAGGTCACATGACCAGGGCTGGCTGAAGAGACACTAACGGTACAGCCCGCCACAGATAGATCAAACAATGCTTCAGGGTGAACAGGCGGAAAAGTACATTTACTCTGCCACGACTATGGTGTACTTGAGTAAGCACAGCTACAAGTACTGCTGCTATTATTCTACTTGAATGGTCGTTATGAGGGACAAAGGACAGTGAAAGACCTCTCATTTAATAAAGTATTTCTTATCTTATTTGGTCACACCAGCCTTGTTACTGCCAGACTAAGGAAAAAGGTAGCTACATTGCACCGTGATTTGTTTGCCCCAACAGAGAAGACTTAAGCTCTCTAAGAAACAACGTGTCCCAATTAAGTGGATTGACTCATGATTAACCTGCATGTTATTACGAAATGAGCCAGTGACGCAACAACGGAGCAACACCACTGAGCAACGCTGTAGCCAGGCCAGACAGACAGCTGGAGAAGGGATACTGCTGCCTGTGGCCTTGTCAGTGCACCGCTTTTAGCCCAGAGTGGGCAAGTGCTGGAAGTTAGGGCTGTCCCACACACACACCCTTAAAAAAATATATATAACACAGCCAGCCCCAGTCAGTCACAGTGAGCAAACGTGAGGAACTGCACATTGCCCGGTTGGGGGGATGGGAGGGGGAGAGCGAGAGCATGGAGAGAATGTGTGGAGGAGGAAGGGGCCCCTTCATTTAGTCACAGTTATATGGGGCAGAGTGAATGGGTCATTGGCTAACACACACTTGGCTGATAGGAGTCACATTAACAGCATAAGAAAAGTAATGACTTAGTGTCTGAGCCATCCTTCAGAAAATAATGATCTGATCATACACAGAACCTTTGCCTGATGATCATAACCGGACTACTGCACTACACGAGACAGCTTATCACTTTGTTGGTAATAGTTCTCCCAGGCACTGAGCTACTTAGGCATTGAGAAATTAGGTTGTTTTAGATTTAGTCATTGACATCATCACATGAATAGCATCATTTGGAAGTTGACAATCTTATTTGATATAATTGGTTATTTGAAAATCTGAAGAAATTCAGGGTAGAGCCTTGTCCAATTGACTTGAGAAAGTGAAAGAATAGGCTACATTTGTAACGGCTATCCAAGTACACAGAAATAGCCCAGTTCTGCCTATGGAGTCGGTCCATGGCCATGTCAAGCGCAGTATATGCTGTAACTAGGGCTGTGACGATTATGGAATTTTAGGTAACGATTAATTGTCATGCAAATTGACATAATTTGTCATAATTTTTGTAAATAGAAAATTGAGCTTGTAGGACAATGCATCATAAGGAAAATGAGTTACAACATACCTAATGAATACACAGGTTTGGTGACAACCCCCCCCAGTCTCAAAAACAAATGGTTTTGACGGCTTGGAACTTATCATCCCGCCGGTGACACTCTGCTCATAAAACTATTAAACTTTACCCAATTAATGTAAAAATTAACTGCTATTTTGTAAACTACATCTACTTAAATATAAAAGTTGAATCCCCCTTCTCCTGAAATTAACGGGGTACGACGATTCTGATTAGTACTTTCTTTAGTTCACAGTTATTGACCATAATTGTCAGTTATACAATTATTGTGCCAGCACTAGCTATAACATACATCATCCCACTACTCACCAGAGTACTCTTTGGGCGACTCCTTGTCTCCCCCCTTGAAGAACTTGATGGTAGGGTACCCCCGGACACCGTACTCCTGGGCCAGGTCTGCCTCCTCGGTGGCGTCCACCTTGGCCAGGCGGATCTCTGAGCCCTCTGCCTTCAGCATGCTGGCAGCTTTGGCATACTCCGGGACCAGGGCCTTGCAGTGGCCACACCATGGGGCATCTGAAACAAGGACATCATAGAAATAGAATTAGACCACATAGCTTCAGAGTTTAGATATTATCACTGATGGGTGAAGACGCAAATACAGTAGTGGCTCTGTTGATATACTACATTAACATGTGATTTGCAGATTTCCAGATAACTGAGCAAAGCACATTACTTACAGTAGGCTATTTAGAGGGTGTGGAAAAATCTCATCTGGCAAGTTAGTTTTCAATGAGCTCACTGAAAAGACTAGCCTTGGGCAATAACTAATATAGTGAAAATGTTGCCTGAGAAAGGAGGTGGATTTCTAATCTGACTTCTTATGGTGGACTTGTACAGGTTCTGAATGCATGAACTCAAAAAAAAAAAAAAACATGAAAGTTTGAACAAACTTAACCCATTGATTGTCTGTGATTGTGTGATTAATGTGCCTTGAGATGTCAAGATATCACCATAAACTTGACAAGTCTATTAAGCTTGGTTGTAAATTCAAAGTCCAAAGGATATTTCCTCAAAATATAAAACAGTCCTACAGCAATTCCTTTCTAACTAAATATTATGTTTATCATTCTTTCAAAACATGAATAAAATGAGTTGGTGCGTTTTCACTGCAATGTTTCTTGGTTTCAGTGGAGAACACACCCAATTCCAGCCAGGAGAGTTAAACAAAAGTTGAACAGATGATTTAACTTTATAAGTACACGTCAACCTAGCATCTCATCCAACCCCACAGGTCCCGCCCGTCCGTGAGATACGTGGGCAACAGTATTTAGTCCTCCCCCCACGGTGTTCATTGGAAAGTCCGAGTCGTGGAGTTCTCTGATTGGACTGCAGGCTTGTCAGTTAAAAGTGCAGAATACCTCAAATAGTTTGACAGTTGTAGCGGGACCTGTGTTGCAAAACCACTGCAGAAACTTATGTGAATTTCAGTAAACTTACATCAAAACAGCTCCTAACTGAAACCGGGGTAGAAAGTGTTCATGATCAGGAAACGATATCTAGCAATCGAAACTCAAGTGGTGACTGAATCAAAACCATACACGTCACTGTTGCAACTAATGGAGTCTGCCTGATGTATTCACACGACTGAATGATGTGATCACTCAAGAAGAGATGCTTTGCTAGCACTGTTGCACATAGCTTGAGTATTCTAAATCGTGCATGAAGTATTGTCTCGAGGGTACACAGAAGCACAAGCCATCCCTTGTAAGCTAAACAAACAAGAATACGTTTTAGTCACGTTTATCAACTTCTAGATCTATGCAGCCACCAAGCCTGGTAAAGAAACAGACACTTGCACCAACAAGTGGTCACAGATAAATTTGACTGTCATTTAGATGCTTACTTATCAGTCCTGAGACGTCTAGATAACTAGATATGCAGCACTGAATGCTCAATTTTACTGTGCCAGGTAACGTTATACTACCAGCTAGATAGCTAGTTAAAAGCAACAAAGTCCTGTACTAGTAAGGTTCATCCAAATGTGTTGCAATAACTAGCTACCTAGTTAACGTTAGCTACTGTTAGCAAGCTAGCTGGGATGGGCATTGGCTTAGATTCCTTCAAAAAATATATAACGTTACTACTTGTAATACAATGCCAATCAATGGCCAATGTGTGTAATCAACGGGAAATGTATGACACAGGCCTAGCTAGCAAGCGACCAATTTGAATAACTAACGTTTGCCAAGCAAAACGATAGTAGCTAAGTTAACGTTAGGCACACTTAACGTTAGCTATCAAGCAAGCTAGCTAGCTGACGTTGGCCATTCCACATACCTTTTGCAGTAGCTGAAGTGAAGTTGATAACACTGCCGCAAGCGAACTCAGCTAGCATGCTAGTTTAGCTGCGTGAACAAATTAGCAGGAAAGCTAACAAGTTAGGTTGTTGTCTAAGGCTTTATATGACCAGATAGCGGGTAGATTACTTACAGAATTCAACAAGGATGTTTGGGTGAGCTTTCAAAGCCTCCTCGAAATTACTTTTCTTCAGCACCAGAACATCATCTTCTTCGCCGATCTCTGCCCGGCTTGCCACGGCCAGTGTGCAGAGTAGGAAAAACTTAAACATAGTTGCTGTCGACTGCGTTTTCTAACAGAAAATGTGTTCGTAGCTACAAGTGAATGCGCTACCGACTGAAAGTGGTGTATATGTCGTTTATCTTCTTACAGTTAGAACTGTAGCTTGTATTTTGTGTCTACCGCTACTAACGTCGTGGCATTACGCGCAGGAACCAGAAGGGTCAGCCGTAGTGCGCAGGCGCATTTATTAGCTTGAAAGCTGCTCGTGTTGAATTGTGACTGGACCACAGCTGAAGGTACCTGGAAGTGAATCCAATTTGTCAATGGATGTGTATTGAAATCGATTGAAATACTTTGCAGTCGCATTCTTTCTGATATTTGAGAATTGTTGACACAAATAACTAAAATGACTTAGAATGAAGGCAGAGGTTTTATGCAGAAAAGGTGATGAAACAATATAATATTCAGGGAGGAAATGGCAGATGGAATGTAGAATGATACCTTGCCGGTTATTAAAGACCTAGGATGATTAGCGTGATATATCTAGAATCAGATATAGATAGAGAGCAAGGTACAGACTTTTTCTTGTTTCGATGGTGGAATATTAAAGGCGCTGCATGGTCAATCCAACATCTGCACTGGCCGTGCAGCATTTATGGTGATCCGGGCATTTATACTTATGCGCTTTGCAGAGAAGCATGTAGCTGTTGTGAAGGAAGTTGTCAAGGAAGTGAGTTTGTGCTTATACAGGACCTCCCGCCCCCACCTACCGTCAACCAATCATGTCAATGCAGAGCTATATGGAGCCCTTGGCATTGTTAAACATTTTGGGAGGCGCACAGGGATGCTGTGTGGAGCTCAATTTGGAGTTTGCATGCCTCCGGAGGCTCCGAAATGGCGTCTCACCCTCCATATGGAGCCTCTGACCACAATTTTCAGATCAAGCTTAAATTGGCTTTAAGAATGCCCTGAATTCTACAGGCTGTATCCCCTTAAATGCTGCAAGCCAATGCTGATGTCAGGTTGACCATGCAGCACCTTTAAGGGGCCATCTTAAAACTGCAATCAGCCAAACCTGGAGTGTACAGAAAAACTGAATCATCTCAATTAAATGACCTAGAGATCTTAAAACGACTACATTTCAGTAGCTCCCTGTCCATATGAGCTATAGATCTACAGACAAGTGTGGTGGATTCCTTGACACCTTTTATTTTTCTTTATCCCTTTTGATGTTCGACAAATATTTATATTACAGCTGTGGTTATTAATTCATGTAAAGATTTCATTTTCAATAGCTTCCAATCCATATGACATATACATCTAACCACTTGATGTTAGGTCATTGACCTCCCTCCCCATTAGAATTGCACATTTTAATTTGACTGATTTTACATGAATATTTCCTGTGATGTGAAATTTTCAGGACCTTCCTGTCCATATGAGCTACAGGTCTACAGACAAGTGCGGTGGGTTCCTTGACCTTTCTTATAAATGGTACACTTATTGGAAATATTTTTCAGATTACTGCTTTGGATACCAATTCAAGTATAGATCTACTTTTCTATGGCTTTATGTCCTGTAAATATTGTACATATTTAACAGTTGCCAGTTTATTAGGTACAACCATCTAGTACTGTGTCTGACCTCCCTTTGCCACTAGAACAGCCTGAATTATTTGGGGCATTCTACAAGGTGTTAGAAACGTTCCACAGAGATGTTGGTCCATGCTGACGCGATGGCATCACGCAGTTGCTGCAGAATGCTGCGAACAACCCGTTCCATCTCATCCCAAAGATGCTCTGTTCCAGTCTATTTTTTATTTTTTTTTGTCATTTAGCAGACGCTCTTATCCAGAGCGACTTACAGGAGCAATTAGGGTTAAGTGCCTTGCTCAAGGGCACATCGACAGATTTTTCACCTAGTTGGCTCGGGGATTAGAACCAGCGACCTTTCGGTTACTGGCACAACGCTCTTACCCACTAAGCTACCTGCCGTCTATGTTTTTCCACTCCTCAATTGTCCAGTGTTGTAATCGCGTGCCCACTGGAGCCGCTTCTTCTTGTTTTTAGTTGACAGGAGTGGAACCCGGTGTGGTCGTCTGCTGCAATAGCCCATCTGTGACAACGATCGACGAGTTGTGCGATCTGAGATGCCACACCACTGTTGTACTGCACCGTTATTTGTCTGTTAGTGTCTGTTTTTTTAAAATACTTTTTTTTTTGGGGGGGGGTAGATCAGCTTAATATTGAAGATAGATTGTAACTTCCATCAATGTAATTGTCTGCATCACTTCCAATCCCCCATGTTTTTATATACACTGCTCAAAGAAATTAAGGGAACACTTAAACAACACAATGTAACTCCAAATCAATCACACTTCTGTGAAATCAAACTGTCCACTTAGGAAGCAACACTGATTGACAATACATTTCACATGCTGTTGTGCAAATGGAATAGACAACAGGTGGAAATTATAGGCAATTAGCAAGACACCCCCAATAAAGGCCTGGTTTTGCAGGTGGTGACCACAGACCACTTCTCAGTTCCTATGCTTCCTGGCTGATGTTTTGGTCACTTTTGAATGCTGGCGGTGTTTTCACTCTAGTGGTAGCATGAGACGGAGTCTACAACCCACACAAGTGGCTCAGGTAGTGCAGCTCATCCAGGATGGCACATCAATGCGAGCTGTGGAAAGAAGGTTTGCTGTGTCTGTCAGCGTAGTGTCCAGAGCATGGAGGCGCTACCAGGAGACAGGCCAGTACATCAGGAGACGTGGAGGAGGCCGAGGAGGGCAACAACCCAGCAGCAGGACTGCTACCTCCGCCTTTGTGCAAGGAGGAGCAGGAGGAGCACTGCCAGAGCCCTGCAAAATGACCTCCAGCAGGCCACAAATGTGCATGTGTCTGCTCAAATGGTCAGAAACAGACTCCATGAGGGTGGTATGAGAGCCCGACGTCCACAGGTGGGGGTTGTGCTTACAGCCCAACACCGTGCAGGACGTTTGGCATTTGCCAGAAAACACCAAGATTGGCAAATTCGCCACTGGCGCCCTGTGCTCTTCACAGATGAAAGCAGGTTCACACTGAGCACATGTGACAGACGTGACAGAGTCTGGAGACGCCGTGGAGAACGTTCTGCTGCCTGCAACATCCTCCAGCATGACCGGTTTGGCGGTGGGTCAGTCATGGTGTGGGGTGGCATTTCTTTGGGGGGGCCGCACAGCCCTCCATGTGCTCGCCAGAGGTAGCCTGACTGCCATTAGGTACCGAGATGAGATCCTCAGACCCCTTGTGAGACCATATGCTGGTGCGGTTGGCCCTGGGTTCCTCCTAATGCAAGACAATGCTAGACCTCATGTGGCTGGAGTGTGTCAGCAGTTCCTGCAAGAGGAAGGCATTGATGCTATGGACTGGCCCGCCCGTTCATCTGGGACATCATGTCTCGCTCCATCCACCAACGCCACGTTGCCCCACAGACTGTCCAGGAGTTGGCGAATGCTTTAGTCCAGGTCTGGGAGGAGATCCCTCAGGAGACCATCCGCCACCTCATCAGGAGCATGCCCAGGCGTTGTAGGGAGATCATACAGGCACGTGGAGGCCACACACACTACTGAGCCTCATTTTGACTTGTTTTAAGGACATTACATCAAAGTTGGATCAGCCTGTAGTGTGGTTTTCCACTTTAATTTTGAGGGTGACTCCAAATCCAGACCTCCATGGGTTGATAAATTTGATTTCCATTGATCATTTTTGTGTGATTTTGTTGTCAGCACATTCAACTATGTAAAGAAAAAAGTATTTAATAAGATTATTTCATTCATTCAGATCTAGGATGTGTTATTTTAGTGTTCCCTTTATTTTTTTGAGCAGTGTATATATATATATACACACACACACACATATATATACACATATATACACATACATACATATCCTTTAAAAAATATATACAGTGGGGAGAACAAGTATTTGATACACTGCAGATTTTGCAGGTTTTCCTACTCACAAAGCATGTAGAGGTCTGTACTTTTTATCATAGGTACACTTCAACTGTGAGAGACGGAATCTAAAACAAAAATCCAGAAAATCACATTGTATGATTTTTAAGTAATTAATTTGCATTTTATTGCATGACATAAGTATTTGATACATCAGAAAAGCAGAACTTAATATTTGGTACAGAATCCTTTGTTTGCAATTACAGAGATCATACGTTTCCTGTAGGTCTTGACCAGGTTTGCACACACTGCAGCAGGGATTTTGGCCCACTTCTCCATACAGATCTTCTCCAGATCCTTCAGGTTTCGGGGCTGTCGCTGGGCAATACGGACTTTCAGCTCCCTCCAAAGATTTTCTATTGGGTTCAGGTCTGGAGACGGGCTAGGCCACTCCAGGACCTTGAGATGCTTCTTACGGAGCCACTCCTTAGTTGCCCTGGCTGTGTGTTTCGGGTCGTTGTCATGCTGGAAGACCCAGCCACGACCCATCTTCAATGCTCTTACTGAGGGAAGGAGGTTGTTGGCCAAGATCTCACGATACATTGCCCCATCCATCCTCCCTTCAATACGGTGCAGTTGTCCTGTCCCCTTTGCAGAAAAGCATCCCCAAAGAATGATGTTTCCACCTCCATGCTTCACGGTTGGGATGGTGTTCTTGGGGTTGTACTCATCCTTCTTCTTCCTCCAAACACGGCGAGTGGAGTTTAGACCAAAAAGCTCTATTTTTGTCTCATCAGACCACATGACCTTCTCCCATTCCTCCTCTGGATCATCCAGATGGTCATTGGCAAACTTCAGACGGGCCTGGACATGCGCCGACTTGAGCAGGGGGACCTTGCGTGCGCTGCAGGATTTTAATCCATGACGGCGTAGTGTGTTACTAATGGTTTTCTTTGAGACTGTGGTGCCAGCTCTCTTCAGGTCATTGACCAGTTCCTGCCGTGTAGTTCTGGGCTGATCCCTCACCTTCCTCATGATCATTGATGCCCCACGAGGTGAGATCTTGCATGGAGCCCCAGACCGAGGGTGATTGACCGTAATCTTGAACTTCTTCCATTTTCTAATAATTGCGCCAACAGTTATTGCCTTCTCACCAAGCTGCTTGCCTATTGTCCTGTAGCCCATCCCAGCCTTGTACAGGTCTTCAATTTTATCCGTGAGGTCCTTACACAGCTCTCTGGTCTTGGCCATTGTGGAGAGGTTGGAGTCGGTTTGATTGAGTGTGTGGACAGGTGTCTTTTATACAGGTAACAAGTTCAAACAGGTGCAGTTAATACAGGTAATGAGTGGAGAACAGGAGGGCTTCTTAAAGAAAAACTAACAGGTGTGTGAGAGCCGGAATTCTTACTGGTTGGTAGGTGATCAAATACTTATGTCATGCAATAAAATGCAAATTAATTACTTAAAAATC